GTGGGTGTCTGATCCCCTGGAACTGGAGTTACAGACAGTTGTGAGCTGCCAAGTGTGTGCTGGGAATTGAACCTGGGTCCTCTGGAAGAGCAGCCAGTGCTAGTAACTGCTGAGTCATCCCTGCAGCTCCATTCTTTGTGTCTTTTATTGAGGCGTATTTGCACATTTTTATGAAGTGTGTGATTCAATGCATACATAGAATGTAATAATCAAGTTCATCTCTTCAGTCATTAATTGTGGCATATTGGGATTTTCATATTTTCTAGTCATTTTTAATATAGCAGATCATAGGGGGAGGGGTTTCCTTTTGTTGTTATTTGTTGTTTTGGTTTTGAGATACAATCTCATTGGGTGGGCCTAGCTAGAATAGAACTCTCTTTGTAGACCAGGCTGGCTTTGAATTTGCAGTGATCCTCCTGCCTCAGCCTCTGGAGTGCTGGGATTACAGGTATGCGCCAGTGTGCCCAGCTTTTCATGTTTTCACAATGTATCCTTCAGCTCACTGTTCCTCTGGTCTCAGCCGTAGTCATGTCAGGCTGTTGTGTTGGGAAGCTAAATATGCCTGAGAACAATATCCGTGCCTCCACTGCATCCTCTGGGGAAAAAATGAACTTAGCAAAACACCAGGGAAGGGAGATGAGGAGAGGGGAGGGGGGAGAAGGGAGGAGAGGGGAGAGGGAAGGGGAGGGGAGAGGTGAGGGGAGGGGATGGGGGAGGGGAGAGGGAGGCAGTGTAGACAAAGTGAAATGACTTTGAGCTCATGCTTCCCCCTCCCATGTCTTGTTCTGTGAGGACTGACTTCTCCCTAGAAATCCAGCTTATTCTAGGAAAACCCCAGATGTTGATCAAACCCTTTCTTAAAATCCACACTATTAAGCTTTGAATGGTGTTGTACAAGCCTGTAAACCCAGCGAAGACTCAGGAGGCCAAGACAGGAGGATCATAAGTCCAGGCCAGCCTGGACTACCTAGCAAGAATCCAGACCAGCTGTGGGCTGCACAGTGAGACTCTCACTCATAAAAACACACCCCAAACCATTTATAAACTGCCATACTGTTTAATACTCAGTCCACATGGGTTCTACACACACACACACACACACACCTTTTTTTTTTTCTTTTTTTCGAGACAGGGTTTCTCTGTACTGCTTTTGGAGGTTGTCTTGGAACTCCCTGTAGACCAGGGTGGCCTCGAACTCACAGATATCCGCCTGCCTCTGCCTCCCGAGTGCTGGGATTAAAGGCATGCGCCACCAACGCCCGGCTTCGCACACCCCTTTTTAGACAGGTTCCACTATGTAGTCCTGGCTAGCCTTGAAGTCATGTAAACCAGGCTAGCCTCAAGACTGTAGTTTCTGCCTCTGTCTACTGATTAAATCCTGAGGTTAAAGTCCTTCTCCACCGTGCCTCTTTTCTTATTGTCCATCACTGTGCTGGACACATACATAGTTAATGGATGTTTCAGCTGCAACTAAAACAGTACACATCAGGGCTCTCTGTGCAGTGGTTAGAACAGCTACAAGACGTATCAAGAATTGTGAAAACTAGGACTGGAGGGATGGCTCAACCATTAAAGGCTAGACTCAACCAAAAACATAAGAATTGTGAAAACGAGGTCTAAGGAATCAGTAATGGGCTGTAATTTCACTTAAAATGGTTTTAAACATATTAGTTACATGAATGCATGACTAGGTATCACTCTAGAGGCACTGATAACAGACTTTGTTAAGGGTATTAATTTGGTTTCTCCATGATCTTCTCCAACACAGACCTTAGAAAATGGAAAGAAAGGTGCTTTTCCCTGTATTTGGTTTGAGAACAGTATCTGAATGATAGTATAAGAAACACAGGAAGCAGCTAAAAAGAACCCAATGCTGGGAGGAATGAACAAAATAATATTAGATAATAACCCAAAGAATGAGTTCATACTGATACAATGATTAAATAAATGGGGGAAGCAAGTGTTGAGTGCAAAACTCAAAACAATTTATGTCAATAGTATATGCTCAGGGATCTAAAGTGCAAGTTGAGAATGGAACTCTACCCACTTAAGAACAAGAGCTTCTGGCTAGGGATATATGTAGCTCAATTAGTGGAGTACCTCACGAAGCCATAGGTTCAGTCCCTTGTACCACCACATCAACCAGTGTGGTGGTACTTGCCTGCAATCCCAGCACACAGGAGGTTGAAGCTGGAGGATCAGGAGTTCAAGGTCATTCTTGACTACTTACAGAGACTTTGAAGCCAGCCTAAGCTGGCTTACAGAATATAATATGAAAAGGGGAAAATGACATTACAGACACCTGGCAGAAGCCACTCAGCCACATAGTCAAGGAGACTATCACAACACACATCCTTGCTTTGATGAGACAGTTTAGAGACAAATCCCATAGCCAGGCAGTCTCCCACATTGGAGAGGCTAAGGCTAGCCTGGCCTACACAGTGACATCCTATCTACATTCTACAATGTAGCTGACCTCTAAACTGTCATCAAAAACATTTAGGATACTGCCAGAGCTTACAGACATCGAAGAAAGTATGACAACTAACTGTAAGATGACATCCCGCCTGAGATGCTGGGAAAGAAAAGGACACAGCAGAATCTAATAACATCCAAATAAAGTATGAAATTCATTTACTAATGTACCATTATCTCATCAGTTATGGTAAATATACAGTGTCTGGATGTTAACAGAGCTGGGGCTAGAGAGTCTTTGCTCCTTCTCTGGAACTCTGAAATTCTAAAATTACAAGGGTTGGTTTGGGTATTGAGGCTTGAACCCACGGCCTCCCATGTACCAGGCAAGTGCTCTAAACCACTGAGCCACAGCTTGATTGCACGTTTGTCTTCCTCACTGTGCTTTCTTTCATTGCAGGGTGCTGGTGACAGTTTCGTGGGGGCACTGGCCTTCTACCTGGCTTACTACCCAAATTTGTCCTTGGAAGAAATGCTCAAGAGATCAAATTTCATTGCTGCAATCAGCGTCCAGGCTGCAGGAACACAGGCCTCTTATCCATACAAAAAAGACCTTCCTCTTGCTCTATTCTGACTGCTGCCAACCCCAAATATAACCTGGAAATAAAATGCACATGGCCACTCAGCTCATAATTACTAGAAAAATGCCCTTTCTTTGTAAATATTCTGTTCACTTAAGAAGTTATCAAGCCTTCGACTCAGTGATGCTTTGCCTTTTTACATTCACAGCTTCAACTAGAATTCGATTCCACCATTAGAATCGGTACAAACAGTACCAGCAAATTCTAGCATTGAACACATGCTGGAGAGTATTTAAGAGACGGAGCAAAGAATGTTCCAAAGGCAAAGGGGACAGCAGTAGGCTCTCCCAAGCACCTTCTGGAGAGATAGCTAATACTCCCCTTTAGCCTATGTTGTCAAACTCGCTTGAGGGGCTGGGGATGTGGCTCAGTGGGTAGAGGGCTTGCCTAGTATGCATGAAACCCTGGGCTTCATCACTGCCTAAACTACATGTGGTGGCACACGCCTGTGACCCCAGCACCAAGGAGGTGGAGACAGGAGGTCAGTAGTTCACGATATCCTCAGCTACATAGCAAATTTGAGACACCCCAGACTACATGAAATCCTGTCTCAGAAAGAGGAGAGAAAAATAATATGGCTCAATGGTAGAGGTGCTTGCTAACAGACCTGATGACCCGAGTTTGACTCTTGGGATCCAAATAGTAGTAGACAGCCAACTCCTAGTAAGGTGTCCTGTTTACATTCTGCAAGAGTTGCTTGCTTCCCTCCAATATCACAGACTGGATCTTGAGACACATACTTGCTATTTTGGGACAGCACTGGTTCCTGATGCTTGTGGCTAGGGGAAACACTACATTTTCTCAGGCATTTTTAATGAAGTAGTATATGGACTGGCAATTCTTTAAAATGTAATCTGGCTTGATTACTTCAAGCCAGAAATCTGAGAAGAAAAACAAACGGTGGGAAACAGCCTGAGTGAGAAAGGGATGATGAGACGAGGCAGCAGTCACATATGAACACAAGGCTATCGGAGTTGGCTATGTGACATCACCATGCCCCCAAAGCAGCCGTATGATATAGCTTCTTGTAAAAGAAAGGTACAATCAAGTCCACTGCTGTCCTAAGAGCCTGTGGCCAGGCCAGCCTGAACTACCTGTGAGAGCTTGTCTCAAACCTCACACCATAAACAACTAGACTTCGGGCTCTGCAGAGCTGTTTGAGAATATAGACAATGGCAGTTCGTAATGACCCAAGCACAAACCAAAGCAGATGTTCTGTTTCTTTCCTTCTTCCAGCTGCTTGTTGTCATGTCGTCACAGGGCAATTGCTCCAGCACTACCTGGAGCACTGTCTTATGGAGGGACAAGGAGCAGCCTAGGAACCTCTGCTCAAGTCTCACTATGGAAAATGGCTTCTCTCGTGTGAGAGAATATTTATTTCTTGGTAAGGTAGTTGATCTTTAAGGTTCAAATAGTAGGGGAAAATATCACCAAGAGACAAGAGCACAGGCTATTTTGACATTTTTTTTTATTAATGCCAATTAAAAAATAAATCCAGAGAGATAACTATCTGGTTTCTGTGAAGAACTTTCTTTCATGGCACTGTTCCTTCACAATGGCCTTCCCCTCACCCGAGGCCATGCTGTGCGCTTCCTCTTCTTCAGCACACACTGCAGGTTTCTGAGCCGGGGCCTCATCCTGGGTCTTCTCATTCATGAGTCAAATTCATTTTCAATCCACTTAGAGGGAGCGTATTTTTTTCTGTTCCACAAAGAGAACTTTTTTGTTCACTGTGAGACAAGAGAAAAGGGTTGTAGCAGAAACCGAGACGCATCATCATTTATCAACATACACATCATGGCCCGAGCGTTCTCCTTTTCCCTTGTGTTACTATTCCTCTGGCATGAGGATGAGCTGATATGAAAACCCAGCTTCTCAATCTTAGGCCAAGATGGAGAGAAACCATTAAGAAGGCAAGAGAAGGTTACCAGCCAATCAGCACTGTCCTCAACAGGCTACAAAGCCATTATCTCAATCAGTGTGAGATACTGGGGCAAACATGGCCAACCCTGACTTGGGCTCCACTCTCATAAGAGAGTAAACAAGAACCAACTGGACACAGGACTCCAGAATAGCATTTAGAGTTGAGCAGTCCACAGAGGACCGGTAGCCAGAAGGGAGAGCAAATACCACAGAACTTCTACTGTCTATAGAGATGGCTTCACACCCAAATAGGAAGAGTTCAGAGCGACAATGCAGCAGTATAGCAAAATCTCAATACTACAAAGTTACTGAGTACAGTTCCCAAAACAAAAGTGCTGCCTGCCTTAGTGAGACACAGGAGCCAAATGCTGTGAAAGGTGGCTTTTCTAGAGCCCCAGTGTCCTACAGTCCACCACCAGCCTCCAGACAACCCCATTGTACACGCACACACACACCTAACTACTAGACCCGGTTCTTCTCTGCCATCAAAACAAGACACCCAAAGGAAACCCAGGAGGCCAAAGGACAGTGGAACCTCACAATCCCTTACTGTCCCTGACCACGCAGACATTTCAACTACAGTGAAAATGAATACATTCCTATTAAATTTCCAAACCATGATTAAGAATTAGCAAGAGAGTTTATTTAAAATATATTGCTGTGGGTGAAGAGAGGCTCAGTGGTTATGAGCACTGCCTTTCCAAAGAACCCAGGTTCGATTCCCAGCACCCACATGCTGGCTAACAACCATCCATAACTCCAGTTCCAGGGGATTTGACATCCTCTTCTAGCCTCTGCATGCACTAGATACACTTGTGTTACACAGACATACAGGTAGCCAAATCACCCTTACAGATGAAAAATAATGAAAACAAAGTATCTAAATATATTGCATTTCTCACCTCTATCCTAATTCTAGTTCAGCAGCAGGAATTCAACGACTTTTTAAAATTCTCTAAGAAGCTGAATTTAAGAGCCATTAACCAGTCGAGAAAAATGTACCACTAAATTAATAAAATATAGACATTATAACAGTTATTGTCACTTATTTTTTTATCATTTAAAACATGAGAGAATATCTTTATACACCGAGAACAATCAGGAATTATTAAATGGCCATGTCCAGAAACCACTGATTATTAGAACAAGGCTCTAAGCCGGTCATGGTGTACGAACCCCTAATCCCAGAACTCAGGAGGCAGAGGCAAGTGGATATCTGTGAGCCCGAGGCCTGCCAAGGACACACAATGAGACCCTGTTTCAAAATTTAAATTAAAAAACAAAGGGAGGGGTCAGACTTGAGGGAAAAGTCAGAGCTTACTCGCTCAAGCACAGCGACACTTGGAGGCAGTGAGACAGGAGCAGGGGCTCTGTCCACAGCTCGGGACAGCACCTGTCCAATGTGTGCCAGTCCCCAAAAATATAGTAACTAAAAACAGGAGTGACAGTGGAGCTCTGAATGCCAGGCTGACAACAGGAGCCGGCCCTAACTCTTCTGTTTCAGGGTTCTTATCTAGTTGGTTTGTGGTTGTTTGGCAGTTCTAGGGATTGACATAGGACCTTGTAGAGGTAAAACAAGTACACAAACACTGAGCCATGCATATACCAGCCAAGGTCCTGATTTTTTTTTTCCTATTTCTTATGTGCATTGGAACCTGCGCTACAGATAGTTGTGAGCTGCCATGTGGGTGCTGGGAGTTGAACCCAGGTCCTCTGGAAAAGTAGCCAGTACTTTTAACCTCTGAGCCATCTCTACAAGTATTAGGAAGGTGCTCTAGCCACCTTTCCTGGTTAAGTGCAGCTACCACCCCTCATCAAAGAGGCTTCTTAAGCAAACAGAGACCACCACAGGAAACCACAATGGGACACATCACAGACATCAACAGATCTTGGGGAGCCCAGCCCCAACAGATACAGGAGACATCATGGAAGAGGGGGCAGAAAGACTGTAAGAGCCAGAATACCAAGAAGTCTGAGGTGAAACAGTCTCTCTTGGAACGGCTGCATAAGCAAGACTGGAACAATAGCAGTATCAATAGACATGTTAACATGAAGGGGGTAAAGTTCATGGGGTCTCACCCCTAGACAAAGAACTACACACAGCTAATGACTGCTATGAGAATTAGTATCTCCCAAGGAAGAGCTTCTTATGATTATCCACATACATAAATACACACACACACACACACACACACACACACACACACACACGTAACAGTAATAAAGAAAAAGAGAAAAGAGGCTATCAGCTTGGGGTTTGATGAAGGGTGGCTGAGAGGGGTTGGAGGAAGAAGGGAAGAAATACAATTTTATTTCAATTAAAATGTATTTTTTTTGATGCAAAAGCAAATAGTCTTTTACTATTGTTTAATGAGCTAACCCATTACCTTGGGCCCTTTGTCCCTTCATGGCGGTGGATGCTTGGAGGACCCCAAGGAGCTGTGAGGTGGGGAATACATTGGGTAGAGCAAGGGGTGTGTCTAGGGGGACACAACAGTCTCAGGATTGGTGCTCTCCCGTGCTTGGATGACCTGTTCTGTGTTGGTCAACTGGTTGTTATGGCCCATAGGCCCTCCCAGGGTGGTTGCTATGCCCTGAACATCACTGTTAAAATGTATTTTTTAAAAAAGTATTAGGAAGATAAAATGGGTCCCATGTACTAGAAATAGCCAGAACTAGGTTCTAACACTGACAACAGGGAACTAGGGATGTAGTACAATATTAAAGCATACTTGCTCAAAGTCGTGGGTCAAAACCCAGCTAGGGAAGGGAGGAGTATGGCTCCAATATCCATCCACCCTGAGCCCCAAGGCAAATATCAAAACCCTCTCCTCTCAGTTTCCTTCCTGATGTGAAAGACAGCCCCATCCCCTCAGAGCTGTTGCCAGATAAACAGTGTGCACTCGTGTGAGCTGAGCTGACATGACAAACTGCTATCCACAACACTAAACATAATGTACTTTTCAGTCAAAATATTTGCTGTTTAATTCATAGAAGAATGAATCTGTCAAGTTCTTTCCCTAAAGCTAACCTAAATCTATTCTGTTTCAATTAAAGTCTGTATTGCCTTGTTTAGTGATCCACAGAATTAAAACTGACAAGTTTTCATTCCCTTCATGATAAAGTTTAATACTCTTATGCCTCAGCCTTTAATCCATCCTCCTTGGCATCTAGTTCTAGATGAGGAAAGGAGTCTAAAGACAGAGGTGGGGGCTGGAGAGGTGGCTCAGGGATTAAGAGTACTTGTCAAGAGGACCCAGGTTCACTTCCCAGTACCCACATGGTGGTCCACAACCATCCAGAACTCCAGTCCCAGGAACCTGATGCCCTTTCTGACCTCTAAACACACATAGTACACATACATACATTCAGGCAAAACACTCACAAATAAAATGAATATATATGTGTAGGGGTGTAGGGGTGTATGTGTGTGCATATTTGCATATATGTACATATACATGTGTGTGTATGTATGTATGTATGAATGAATGAATGAATGAATGAATGAATGAAAGAGGTAGATGCAACTGGCTATTGCCTCAGAGCAGTCTGTGGAATGATCAACTGACTGAGAATCCTGTGTTTCATTCCTGATTTGCTTCACAAGAGACAAACAGAACATTATCCTCCAACCAACTTTACTCATTGCAATAAAATGATGGAAATGGCCAGATTCCCTGGTACCCTGAGCAAGGCTGGCCCCAAGGCAAACATCATCATCTTTATGGTAAATCTGCAGGGCATCCATAGAACAGCAGGATGTCAGCCATCGGCTACCCCAGGACATTATCTTCTCGAGAAAAGACATTTTGCTACCGACGTTCAGACATTTCCTATTAGAAAAACTAGCTGTGGTCACTCACCCCTAATCCCAGCACTGGAAAGGCAGAGGCATTATTTACTCCTACCTGTGGGCCACAGTGATGGAACTCAGGTCACCAGGCCTTTTGGCTTCAATCAGCTGAGCCACCTCATCAACTAAGCTTGTCTCTTTTAGACAAATTTAAAGTTATCATTTATTATGGCATTTTTGGTAGAATGTTCTGCCCCAATGTACCAACATATACTCTACTCATTTAATTCATAACTGAAGCTCGTAACCGGCCCCTGTCAGATCACACCTCCCCTTCACAGAGAGCTACTGCCTCTATTCTTTGCATGGCTGATTTCCTTCCTTCACGGAACTAATCTTCTTAGAGACTGCCTGGCCATCCCAGCTCGAGTACATCTCCCAGGGGCCCCAGCCCCGCTACATCCCAACATCCCAGTGATCTTCATAGAACGTATTCATCGCACTTCTCCCTCTCCCTCCCACACCAACTGCAAACACCAAGAGCAGAGGCTGAGTTTTGTGTGCTGGTGTACCCAAACCTGGCGTGGCAGCTAGCTAGTGCCATAACAAACATGGTGAATGAATGTCATGATTCCAAAGGGGTCACAAAATCACCAAAGACATTCATTCAAGAAAGGATGAAAGGCCCTGAAAGCTTTTGCCCTGCTGTGACATCACTGCCCTGCCATGACATCACTCCCCTGCTATGACATCACTTCTCTGAGTCTTACCAATTGGATCATAATGCAGAAGAGTCAGCTTCTCTCGGAGTCGGCTTCTCTTGTGGTTGAAGGAGAAACCTGTCCCAGCTTGGCTCACTAGTCTCACCAGAATGGTTCTAAGGTCAAAAATACACTGTTACAAGCTGAGGAAACACACTAAGCCACCAAAAACACATAGCACACTGTGCAAATTTTATGGAGTCACAGCAGTTATGACTATTACTCAGCCCTAAGGAGGGTCCACACTATGATAGTCTATATCTCCCATAAAGCAATTTCAAGGGCTTTGGATCCTAAGGTCCCTACAGGGACCTGGTAACAACCTAACCAAACAGCAGGAGTAATCAAGCCAAGTGAGAGCAAGAACCTCTGATGCCACTCCCACAGGAGCAGAAATCAGGCAGAAGAAGATACAAGAGTAGGTAGTCCCAGCTGGCCTATGGGCAACCTTGCAGATGGCTGCCTCAAGAAGGCCATTCTTGGCCGGGCGTTGGTGGCTCACGCCTTTAATCCCAGCACTCAGGAGACAGAGGTAGGCGGATCTCTGTGAATTCAAGGACAGCCTGGTCTCCAGAGGGAGTGCGAGGATAGGCTCCAAAGCTACACAGAGAAACCCTGTCTCGAAAAACCAAAAAAAAGAAAGAAAAAAAATGCCATTCTTCCCAAATGACTGATAGCTGTACAATCAGGAAGGGACAAAATTACAATAGCTGAAGTTTTACACCATTAATGTACAAGCCCTGGGCACCTTTATATTTCATTTAAATTAGCCACCTAAACCATAGAACTTATTGTTTGCCTCCCCGGACCTGTGAATACCTGTGCTGTTACTCTGTCATACGTGTGTTTTATCTTTCTCACCCCACAGAAGACATGAGTTCTCATGGCATTCCCAAACAAAATCTGAAGTATTTAAGACCACATTACAACCAGGCATGGCAGCTCACTCCTATAATCCCAGTACTCTGAAGGCTCAGACAGGAGGACTGCTGTTAATTGAAGAGCAACATGGACTACAGAATGAGATCCTGTTTCAAAACACAAAATAAAGCCCAAAGACCAATATTTGTTTACAAATTAAGAAAGACAATGATGCCAGGTCTGGTGGTACAAACCAATAACCTTAACCATTCAGGAGCCTGGATCAGGAAGTTCACAAGTTCACAGTCAGCCTGGACAACCCAGTCAGGCTTTGTCTGAAAACTCAGAAAAATAAACGAACAAATAAAAAGAGGGCTGGGCAGAATTCAGTAAGAGAGCATTTGCCCAGCACGAATTTGGCTCTATATTCAATCCCCAGTACTAGGGGTGGGGGAGGTGTTATATTATTAATTCTTCATTCGTTCAAAAAGATCCAACAAATCTCTATGGGGTTCTTATTCTGTAAGGAGCCCTTCAAGAAGCATAAAACTAAGCCTCCATCTTCTAGGGGCTAAAATTATGGTACAAAAGATGAACTGGCACATAGCGGAAAGGCAAGGCGTATTTCTATCCTCTAGTCCAGCCTAATGTTTAGCTATACAATTTAGTGCTCAGACTAAAACAGGCTCTAGGATTTAGTCAAATCAGAGCTCATGTGTAGATTCCTGCAGAAGACTCCAGGGAAGTGCTTCTTGGTCCTCACTGTGAGGAAATACAATTTTGGTATTGATCCGAACTGAGCAACTTGTTCAGGAATAAAACAATGAACTGATAAATCCTGAGATGAGAAAAGAAGCCAAAGCCCCTTAAACAAAGGTCAAGTATACTCACTGGAGTTACTCAGTGGGACCAGAGGGAAACAGGACAGTCCTCGAACTATGATTTTCAATTTTATCTCAGTGTTAATGAGACACTTCGGAAGAGGCCAGATTTCCAACTATGCCTCTTTTCCTGGGTCAGTAATGGGTACTCTTGGGAGATGCTGGGCAGCAGGTACCACAGCTGCCCATCAGCCACACACTTGTCAGAGGAAGGAGCAAATTATGCACAGGTACTGAGGTGCTAAACATGTGTTCTGTGGTTTCGGTACATTAAATGCATTTTCTGTTTATGTATCTGCAACGTGGGGCAGGATTATCAAATAGTTATCACCATCATCAAGATGCATCTGCATTTCTTTCTTCAAGGCGTTCACACCCACAAAATAATTAACCAAATAAATAAACCCAAATCAACTTTCAGGAAATCTAAACCAAACACTGGTTTAAGCGACAGATACAATGGCAGGGCTAGACTACCAATCCCAATAGAAATAAGCAAAGTTTAAATAAAGCAAACACTCTTACTTACTTTGACTTGCTCTTGGCAACTTTGTGTAAGGTTGGAAAAGAAAAATAAAAAGATACATTTGTTATTTATGTTATGCAAAGTGCTTATAAACATTAGTAATAACCCAAAACACTTAAGAAATATGCCACGTTCACCCTAAAGTAACTTTCCTGAATATTAGAGAGTAATCAAACCAACAAATTTTTGATTTTTTTTTTTTGGACAATCCATGCAGTTGACTGGCACCTTAAAAATCTTTCTAAAGTAGTATGTGCTCTCCTTTCACACCCGTCCATGGTGCAAATATCTGCACTGTAACAAGCCTCTTGCTTTAACAAGTGAACTTTGCAAACTGCAGCGAGGTCACGTGAGGTGA